TCAATAAAATGTATTGCACAGCAAAGAAAGAACAAGGTGCATGCTTCATCCAAAACCTAAAAGACATGAAAACGATTGTGTCACATCCTACTGTGTGTGTGGTCACACATACATAAGGAGGAGCCATCGTGATCTCAAAATTAGAGTAGGTGAACATGTACCAGAAATGGTTGCAGAAACAAATACAATCATGTAATCCAATAAGAGTAGAGGATAAACATCCATCATTCTCTATTGCAAAACAATATGATTGAAACAGGCCATAAGATTGATCTAAACCCAGCTTTTGTGGTGTTGTATAAAAGTTTAAAAGGGCGCATACTAAAGTTTATTGAAGCCTTAGCCATACGAAAATTCAAACCCCCTATGTGTATTCATAAACAGTTTGTTCTCACCGTTAACCCGCCCTGGTAATATTGGCTTATTATCCAGAGTGATTAGGTTTCAAATTGTGTTCACATTACTATTATTATTCTTAATATTATTATTCTTGTCTCCTCTTACCCCCCATTTCCAATCTAGTTGACCTACGTGTGATCCGATTGTTCGAAATGTATTACGCTAATATATCACATAGTTCTGATACTCTTCTTATTACATGATCGAAATTTATCAAAGATCAGATTCAGATTTGTATAGTAAGGACAGAAGGCCTACGGCCTATGTTATTCCTTTTCTAGTACGCTTCTGTGAGTGTCCAGACTTTTATTCAAAGAATCAATTGAAGGTGCGGACACCACTGCTTCGGGCAGCAGGTTCCAAGTATTGATGACTCTGTGTGAGAACCTGTATGCCACGGGTATTTTGTTCGTTCTTGGCTTTTCTACTCGCCTGCTATGTCCTCTGAGATGTCCCGATCTAGTGGGAAGAAAATGAGAGAGTAAGTTAGGTTCAAAATCATTTCTTAGTATTCTGTACATCAAAATTAAATCTCCCCTTAATCTGCGATAGGACAGTGTGAAGAGATCTAGCTTTTCCAGCCGCTCTTTGTATAGTAAACCCCGGAGTTCTGGAATTGCACGGGTAGCTGCCCTCTGTACTTTTTCTAGGATATCCGAATCACCTTTTAAACACGGGCTTGCAGCCTGAACTCAGTTCTCAAGCTTAGTTCTCACTAAGGACGTGTATACTTTGGTGAACATGATAGTATCTATCTTAGTGAATGTCCGTTTTAATGCCCAGAAGGTTCGAAACCCCTTAGCTGCGACCTCCCGGCAATGGGTCGTCGTCTTAAGATCCTGACTGACTGTCACCCCCAGATCCTTATGAGACCGAACCACTGGTAATTGCACTTCCCCTATGTTATACCTATTAACATATAAGTCCCCGAAGTGCATGTAAACACACTTTGCCGCGTTGATAGACATCAGCCACTCTTTAGACCAGTTAATTATATTATTTAGGTCTGCCTGAAGAGCATATGAGTCTGTGTCTCCAGTTATTACTCGCCAGATCTTTACGTCGTCAGCGTATAATAACATTGGAGAATGTACTATACTTGGAAGTTCATTGACATACATTATAAAAAAGAATTGCTTTGAAATTGACTTTATTTTCTGATAAAGTAAAGAAAATTTGTTTATTTAATTCATTTTCAATGTTTACTAATAATGTTTAGTAGACTAGAGATCTGAACTCTAAATAGATTGTATGCTGTTTGTTATTGAAATATGCATATCGTCAATCTTCGTCTATATAAAGCATCGACTTCAATCATGTTAGTGAATAATGGAATGAGGTAAGTTAAATATGAGAATGGATGTTTGAATAGGTATATTTTGTATAATCATTGATTTGGACAGACAATCAGAGGGACAAAGCGAAGGAAGCGAATAGAAGAGAGGGAGGGAAGTAAAGTGAAGTGGCACAGAGTAGAGAAGGGGTATGAACCAACTCAATTTAACTAAATGTGAATCGATATTTATAGTCGAATAGAAATATGTTACAGATATGTGATGAACAACATAGGTAATGCACACACATATACTCATATAAAAACAGTCAAGGTTGATAGGTGAATAATTGACGAGGTCAAAATGTAACTCAAGTAGAATGAATAGACTAGCTTGTCCAGAAGTTAGAATAAGTTTTGTGGGCTTAACATAGTAACCAATACTACATATATGAATTTGTACAGGGAATTGTAACATATTACATCATGTATTATTTGATTACTTTCGTTCTAACTGGTAACACTCTTGTTGTCATGTATGCATCCTGTGCACATTGCCTCGATATTACCTTGAGTCACATGTATTATAAGCAGAGATGAATGATGGCTAGCAATGGAATCCAGGACGGACGTTCCGTCCTATTTGGTATTGGTCATCTGGATGTACCTGTATCCCAGTGATGATGTTCACTCCGTGGCTCAAACTCATTACCATTCGCTTCAAATGCCATCACGTCATCCACTTAGCTATTAAGTCCTAATAGCTAATAACACTTTATTTTATTCAAACATATTTGGTTGTTTCCACTTGTGTTTTCGTTCACTAGATTATCACACAATCATCCCTACCTTGCACAAACTATCATGCAAATTATTTCTGGTATAATAATACATGAATACTTTATCAATTTACCCAGGACAGAGTTCGACGGAGAATCATGGCGAGCAGCTTATGCTCCTCTACGAAGGATAACAGGCATAGGCTACTTACCTAATTTAGCAATTACACAAGATAAGTCTATTATTCATAGAAGATTATCAGTAATTTTAAACATCGTTTAATTAATTTGCTGAAAGGGATTGTTTAAAAGATCAAATGGTGTCAAGTGTCCATAATTGATAAACTTCTAGTTAGATTGATTATAATGATTCGATTATAGATTGACTTGAATAGTTCTTCCAAACTAATCCCTATTTATGATATGACAATCTTCAAAGTATCATCTATACATACGCAAACAACTGTGTACAGGTTTAGTAAATGGAATGGTTGAAAAGAGCACACGCAACAACAATTGGGTACAGTTGGCCCGATAATTCCCAAATAGAACAAAACGCGCGTCTTGAATTCCATTGCTAGCCGCTATCATCTCAGGTTATAAATGGATTTCATATCAAAAACACTGAAATTACAAAGTCTTCTATCATAAATTTACTTTTTAAAGTGAACTGAATACCTTACATAAATACATCTCATATGCATTCATTTGTCAATTCATGGTTTAATGAATTCTGAAATTCCTAGTTAATGACATATATCTATGATACAGTAAATCCTAACGTATCGGTGATCAATTCACCATAATTCTCATAAAATACACGTTCAAGCAATAAGTTTCTCCTAAGCACAGAGCTTACATTTCTCACCCTTTCTCTTTCTCCTGGTGATCGACTGGATCATGAAGACATCAACATGTGAAGGGAAGCGCGGGATACAGTGGACAGCTAGGATGCAATTAGATGATCTAGACTTCGCAGATGATCTGGCTCTTCTATCACAAACGCAACAACAAATGCAGGAGAAGACAACCAGTGTACCAGCAGCCTCAGCAGCAATAGGTCTCAACATACACAGTTGGGAAAAGCATCATTCGCCGACACAACACAGCATGCAACAATCGAATCACACTTGACGGAGATTTGGAAGATTTAAGCATCATGGATGAGCACGGTGGATCTGATGCAGATGTGAAGGCGCGGATCGGCAAAGCAAGAGCAGCATATTTACGACTGAAGAACATCTGGGACTCCAAACAGTTGTCAACCAACACCAAGGTCGGAATTTTCAATACAAATGTCAAAACAGTTCTACTGTATGGTTCAGAAACCTGAAGAACTACAAAAGCCATCATCCAGAAGATACAAATGTTTATTAAGAATTGTCTATGCAAAATACTTCGCATCAGTTGACCGGACACTATCAACAACAACCTACTATGGGAGAGAAGAAAGTAGATTTGAGCAGAGGAAGAAATCATGAAGAAGCACTAATCAAATCACAATTAACTGAGAAGCTTTGAAGGATGCAAACACAATTACATATTTGCAAAGTAGTATTGATAGACACGGTCGATCCGATGCAGATGTGAAACCGAGAATCGGCGAAGTAAGAATAGCATATCTACGATTGAACAACATCTGGAAATCAAAACAATTGGTAACCAACACCAAAGTCAGAATTTTCAGTACAAATGTAAATACAGTTCTACTGTATGGGGTCGGGAACCTGGAGAACTATGAAAGTCATCATCCAGAAGATACAAGTGTTTATTAACAATTATCTATGCAAAATATTGCGGATCCGTTGACTAGATACTATTAGCAACAATCTACTGTGGAAGAGAACAAATCAGATTCCAGTGGAGGAAGAAATCAAGAAGGAGTGCTGGAAATGGATAGGACACACATTGAAGAAAGTACTGAACTGCGTCACAGGGCAAGCCGTCACATGAAATCCTCAAGACCAAAAGAAGAGAAGAGGAAGACGAAAGAAGACATTACACTGAGAAATGGGGACAGAAATGTGAAGAATGAAGACGAATTGGATAGAACTGTAAAGGAAGGTTCAAGACAGAGTGGACTGGAGAATGCTAGTCGGCGGGAGTAACAAGCATAACCAATCTAATCATGGTTGAAAAGAATTATGTCTTCAATGGACTATTTGTAATCTTTAATTCACTAGAATACATAGTCGATATAAACATTATAATTAGAGAGGAGTTTTGTAAAAATTGTACTAATTTAATCATTAAATTCATGAGTCACTTAAATCTAGATCACTATAGAAAACATAGAAACACTGGATGGTTATTTCGTCCTATTATTAGGACTCTTCAACAGTGCACATCTCCAATCCTGCTCCGTAGGATTCGAACCTAGGACCTATCAATCTCCTGTGCGAACACTTACCTATCATTGTAATGTTAGAACAAATTATCTTAAATATATAAATCTATCTATCTATCCACACATCTATCTATCTATCTATCTCTCTATCTATCTATCTATCTATATATTTCAATAAATGTAATACATTTTCATTATTTTGATTCAATTCAAAATATATATTTTTCATTGAATTATATATATATTACTGATTTACATAATTAGTAGTTTAATAAGTAGTTTGTATTCTTGTTTCTTCGTCTTCTTCATCATCTTTATCTTCATTCATTTATTCATTGATTATCCTAACATGAAAAATTTACCACGTTTTTCATTTGGATTATTAAAACATTCATGATAACAATAATTATTATCTTGGATATCATTCATTGAATTTTGTAAACAATCCACATAACAATTTAATACACTACGTAATAATGTATTATCAATATAACGTGAATGGACTAATTGTATTGGATCAATTATAAGTAGTATAGAAATAAACAATAGAAATTTCAGCCTATAAAGAAAAAAGAAAAAAAAGTAAATAAATAGATTAAAGTAGATAGTAATTTGAATAGTTGAGATCATGAGTCAATTGAAGTTAGATCATCATAGAAAACCTGGAAGTACTGGATGATCGTTTCATCCTATTGTGGGACTATACTTCAGTGGTGCTCATTCACAATCCGGCCCCCTGCAAGATTCAAACCTTGGACCTATCAGTCTTGTGCGCGAACGTTTTACTACTTGACTACTGAGTTGACATCCATCGGTGTTAATATCTAACGTCAACTAATCTATGAAATTGAGCGACACATTTACCATTGTCTTCAGTGAGCTGATATCTTACAACAGACCTGGCTGAACTCCACTGATCACGGCTTCCTAATAAAACTTCGGGAATTACTTCATGAAGTTAGTCACTAGTGAGCATATGTTGATTACAATCAGTAGGGGTTTTGTGGATATTATAGTAACTTTAAAAGTTGGATAGTTTTTCGTAAATGTTACACTTCTAAGCAAAGATTGATAGTGGCTAGTAGTTGAATTCAAGACGCACATTTCGTCCTATTTGGAACTGGTCAATTGGATGTACCTGTATCTCAGAGTTGATATTCATTGTGGGACTTGAATCTAGTATTGTTTGTTTCAAACGCTATCACGTTATCCACTTAATTACTGAGTCTTGATATTTATTAGCTTGTGCAATAAGGTGAAGTTTAAATTCATTTGATGGAAACATTAATTCTGAGATGTAGATACATCCAGCTGACGAGTTATAAATAAAACGAAACAGACATCTTGGATTCCACTGCTAACCACTATCCATCTTTGCTTATAATGATTGTAAATTAAGACAATGTCGAGGCAACGTGCACAGGATACCCATATGCCAATAACAGACTCATCAATTGCAGTCGTAAACATCAATGAGAAGATTGAAGTAAACAACACCAGGTGAATTTAATGTTTCAGTTAGTTTATCGCATAAATTAAAATTAAAAGTGAATCATTCGGATGAGACATTCTTCAGGGATTTTGATTGTTTCAAGGTTTGTGAATTTGAAAATTGTATGGTGTGCGCTACTTATATTGATATAATAAGTAGTATATGACGCGAGTTTAGAACGTAATGTCTGGCAGCAGAAGATGGGAGAAGATCAAAAAAAGAAGAGCGGAAACACAATGCGATTTGTATGAAAATGCATGAACAATGGAATTTCAGACAATCGATTGATGTTTGCAACAGGAACAGTTCAGTTTGATATGTGATGGATTAATATTTTGCAAATTAACAATTTACTATATGGTTCTCAGATTTTATTGAGATGCTCTGTAATTATGTGCCTAGAATTATTTGATTGTTCCCATTAGTGTTCCTATTCACTACAAGTGTAGTCCCCTCAGTGAAAACCGTAGGTTTGAATACAGTGAAGAAATGTCGGCAGAAAATATACATTTTCCATCTGATAACTATTTAATCTATAAATATTCAAAAATTCTGTATAAATCGTCTTGAAACATTGATTCAGGTTTAACCATTTTCATACTTGAATTAATGAGTTGATCTAAGCTAGATCACCAGTTAGAATCTAGAAGTAATGGATGAACGTTTTGTCCTAGTATGTGACATTTCATGTGCCCACCGATGACTAGCTTCAAGACGTTCTAGTGAGAAGCCGTGACTATTGATATCCAGCCCGTGTCGAATGGGAAAAGTGTTGCGCAAGACCATGGATCGATTAAAGTTAAACATTGAAACCGTTAGATACTAGTTTGGTGGTCTAAAGAATAACCGTTCATGTTGAAGACCAAAGGCATGAAGTTCAAATCTCGCGTTCAGGATCATAGACGCACACAGTTGAAGAGTCCCATAGTAGGACGAAACAGCCGTCTAGTTCTTCCAGGTTTTCCATGGTATTCTAGCTTAACATGGTGAACATATTTTGCCCATTTTTCTACGATACATCAATTACTTAATTTTTTATAAAATCTTCTTTAGTGAACACTGGAAAAGTGGTGAATAGTAAATGATACCCTAAAAGGAAATTGAAATATTCTTCAACTTTGTATTCATTCTATGGAATATCAAGGGATTCATAACTGAATTGTTTATTTCAGACAAACCATTTCAAAAAGTTATATTTTTAATAAAATCACGGTGAGACTATAATTTATGGACGAATCAATCAGATTTATGGTGACAGTTCTTGGATTTCTGCACGAAATCCATTCATCCATTTGATTAAATAGCGTCTTAACAATTTAGCTCATGTCATTTCGTAATGAAAACTCTAAATCTAATTCCTATCCCTAACCATCACTTGTACATGAAAATCCTTATCCTTCACACAGGTTTATAACCCTCATTTGTTCCTAGTTATTAGGTGGACACTCTGAAGGTCAGTCCAGTGTCGATCAAAGATCTTTCATAACAAATGGTCTCAGCCAAACCACTTTATTGTTTGTAAGCAATTTTTATCAGTTGATTAATTAATGAGAATAAAGCGTATAACGATACTGGCGTAATAAGTAGAGATGGATGATGGTTAGCAGTAAAACTCAGGACACACGTTCCATCCTATTTGGTACTCGTCAGACGGATGTACCTGTATCCCAATGTTGATGTTCACTTCATGACTCGAACCTATTACCGTTCGTTTCAAACACCATCGTGTTATTTACTTAGCTACTGAGTTCAAATAGGCGCTAGCAACCAATACTGAATGAATTAATACTGTCATAACATTCATGGATTCATAAAAATTAAAGATGAATATTCTCGAACTATAATTTCTATTGTATGACAATACCTTACAGCTGAGAAAATAATGTTGGATCACGACTAGTTGTACGAAAATACTCCCTTTTAGCAAATTCATATAATCAGTTATTCTTCATTACATTTAACATTCATAGTTGAGACCGTTTCAGTATTCAACTATCAACAACTCAACATTATCTATATAGCATCGAATCAATCAAACCAATAAACACACTATGACTTAGTTGATCAATACTCAAGGTTAGATAAATAGTATAATGGTCATTTAATATCAATCGATCAAGTGTATCTGTTGAACCATTCTTGTGGGAATAGTCCATGTTGGTTTCCCTGATGAACTTATCTCAGTTGGATAAACATTGAAAAAAAGGAAGGAACGTATAATTTATGTTAGTTTGATATAATTTAGCACTATATACTATCAATTATAAGAGAAAACAAATCTAAGACTTTCAGTGACCGAATGACTAACTTCAAGATTAATGTATATTCAGATCAACTAAACAGTGATTGAATGATGAGTAGTCAGTATGTACTAATTGCTTATTGTAATCTTATCAATTATGTCTTGATCAAAACTGATGGGATAAAGAAGGTCTATAGTGTTGTGATCCAATTCCAAATTATGTATGGTATGCATTTAATTTGACTAGTTGAAATAAGTGAGAATTTTGAGCGGCGCCAAACTGACCTTGAGAGTGTCTAACTAATAACTAGGACCAAATAAGCGTTACAAACCAGTGTGAGGACTTATAATTATAATTTACAGTTGATGATTAAGGTTAGGAATTAGATTTCGGGTTTTCATCATGAACTGATATAAGCTGTAATGCTAAAACGGTATTATGCCAAATGAATGAGTGAATTTCGCGCCAAAATCAGAGACCTGTTATCCCTTACATGATTGGTTCGTTCATAAATTATAGTCTTGTCGATGAATCGTTTGACATCTTACAGTTGTATTACAGTTGAATAGAATATGTGAGTAAACTATTATTATGGTTTCGATGAGACCATTATTTATGGATGATCCTTGAGAGATGTCAAAGTGGCCTTGAGAATGTCTACCTACTGATTAGGGCTAAATGAGGGTTATAAACCTGTGTAAAGGATAAGGATTTTCATTTACAGTTGACGGTTAGGGATAGGAATTAGATTTAGGGTTTTCATCACAAAGTGACATCAGCTAAATTGCCAATACTCTATTAGCCAAATGGATGAGTGAATTTTGCGCCGAAATCCAAGATCTGTTATCGTAGATCTGATTGGTTCGTAGTAGTCTCACACAAATATGATATCCATGATGTAATTTCAAACTTGAAAAGGAAAAAATCTACATTTCTGAATGGAGATTCTCATCAGTACACAAACATTTAATAGACTAGTTTAATTGACGTCACAACTACTCAATAAATAAAACGTGAATGACTACTCGAGACATTGAATTCTTTTCGATGATTTCACTTACTGAAGCTGTACACTCCGGCAAAATTAATGCTCTCCTATCAGTGTTAGATCACCATGGAAAACCTAAAAGCACTGAACGGCCTTTTCGTTGTAGTGTGGGACTCTTCAGCAATGTGTATCCACGATCCCGCTCCCTCTCGCGACATTCGAACCCAGGACCTATTGGTCTCGCACGTGAACCGGGACCTACCGATCCTGGGTTAGAATCTCACGAGACGGGATCGTGAATGCGTATTGCTTAGTAGTCATTCAGTATTTTAATGGCATCAGAAATATTTCTGTATTTTAAAGAATGAGGACTGTATAAATTCATTATAGGAGACTGTTGAATCGAATTGATCCATGTTAGACAAACGTCGGAAAACTGTAAGCAGTTGACGAGCATTTCATTCTAGCATAAGATCTCTCAGCAATACGCATCCATGACTCATTAATCGTTAATGAAACTTATAACCTTAGGTCTCACCCGTTAACACTAAATCTTTATACCACTGATCTGTAATTGAATGATAACCAAATCTAAATTCAATCAATTCTTAGTATTGCGTAATCATACCTCATTATAAATCAAGTCAGACTTATAGTTTAGTATTCTAGAGATTAGGCGTTTGCCTGCAAAGCGGAAAGTCCTGGTTTACATTTGTAAACCTGAGTAAATAATCATCCCAAATCTATCAATAACTAGATTTTAACGAAATTTCTTAAATTTTCGATAAGAATCCATGACAGATCAAACTAATTAAGTCAATAATGAAAAAAAAAGTATTTTCAATGATTAAGATCATGAGTCAGTTGAAGCTAGACCACCATGGAAAACCTGGAAGCAATGGACGGCCGTTTCGTCCTATTATGGGACTCCTCAGCAGTGCGCATCCACGACATCGCCCCCTGCGAGATTCGAACCCAGGACCTACTGGTTTCATTGATGAGATAAGATAAACATTACATTATATTATATATAGGCTGGAGTTAGAATATGTAAACCATCAAAATGTTAACTGAGTGAATTTAAGGTATCCTAGCCAATGCATGATATAGAAATCCTTTTTGAAATTGAAAGGTGAGTAGTGTTGATATATGCTAAACTGAAAACTAAACGGCTTTCTATTATTCTTAAGTTGACAGTAGGTATGTATTTAACATCAGTTTACTTGAAAGACTTTACTAAAAAGAAAGATCTAATATATTAAATATGAATACTGTATATAGTGAAGGTACAAGTATTTATCAATAACTGTCTACACAAGATACTCAACATCCAACATTGGCCGGATATCATCAGCAACAGCCTTTTGTGGGAGAGAACAAACCAACTTCCAGATGAAGAGGAAATTAGGAAAAGACGATGGAAATGGATAGGACATACATTGAGGAAATCATCAAACTGCATTACGAGACAAGCGCTACCTTAGAATCCTAAAGGGAAGCAGAATAAAGGATGGCCAAAGAACACATTACGTCGGTAAATAGAATCAGATATGAAAAGGTTGAATAATAACTGGAAAGAGCTGGAAAGGATTGACCAGGACAGAGTTGGATGGAGAAGGCTGATGAGCGGCCTATGTTCCTTCATGAGGAGTAACAGGCGTAAGTAAGTAAGTAAGTAAGTAAGTAAGATGACGATACCGAAAAACAACTTATCCATTTTACTATGTTGTTAAGTTCTGTAATTCAACACAGGCCTTTGATTTTCCTCTGAACTCATCATTCAAAATTCTATGAATCTCTGTTAATGTTTCTTGTTAGATCGGAACCTAGTATCTCTCATTCTGACAATTAAAGAGTTTATCTTCTTCTAATTTGGCATACACTATGCCGTAAACCTTTTCAGTTTAACTACAAAAAAATAATTGAAAATAAGCATACAAACCACTTGATATATTGTGTGTTGAATGTAATTAAACCAAACATGAAAGAACAATGAAATCTGAAACGATCGACTGAGGTTTGCAACGGGAACAGCTGAGTTTGAGATAAATAAATTATTTACTGTATGATTCTTAGATTTCAGTGAGATGTTCTGTAACTTCGTGTTCAAATACATTCAATTGTTCCCACTCATGTTCTTGTTCACTACAGTACTATTGAATTTTGTATATTGTAGTTATGACTACTATTGTTGTTCAGTTTTATTAACTTGTAAAGAACCCTATTCAATTTTTTTTTACTTTGATTCTCTAATTCAAGTGTTAACTGTCATTTAATTTAATAGTTGAATTGATAAGTGAATGAAAGTTAGACCACCATGGAAAAACTGGAACCATTGGAAGGTTGTGGCGTCTTCACGCTCGAGACTAGTAGATCCTACTAGGTTCGAATCTCATGAGGTAGGATTTTGGATGATCACTGTTGAGGAGTTCCATACTAGAACGAAACAATCATCCAATGTTTCCACCATTTTAAATAGTCGTCTAGTTGTCATTGATTCATGAATTCAACTATTAAATTACTATAATATCCATAAAACTCTGCCTTAATTATAACTGTCATTCAATATTAAACGTTTACAAATAACAGAAATAAAAATTCAACCTTAAAAGTAAAGTTCATTAAAGATAAATAATCTATTTATATTGGCATATTGATGATAATGAAGCTTAGTTCTTTTTTAAGACTCATCTAATTTTCAGAGAACAAATCTTATTGTAGACGACTTCATTTTCAGAATGTTTTATAATTATATTTACAAGTTTGTATAGATCTTCGAATGGAATCTCCACTAAGAGATTCATCAGGAACTGATGACTCTGTTTAAGATCATGAGTCAGTTGAAGCTAGACCACCATGAAAAACTTGGAAGCACTGTACTTCTCAGCAGTGAGCATCCACGACCTGGCCTAATGCGAGATTTGAACCCAGGACCTACTGGTTTGGCACGCGAGCACGTTACCTCTATAACACTGAGCCGGCTAGTATCCAACGGTGTTAATATCTGACTTCAACTAATCCACGAAGAGTCCTATACTAGGACGAAACGACCGTGATTATCTATCTTCAACTGACTGATGATCTTAATCATTGAAATTACTACAATCTCCACCAAAAACTCCTTCTGATATTAAACTTGTAACGGTTCATCACATTTATTCTACAACTCGTTAACATGTTGAGGATACAATGTTCACATGGGATCATATTCATGATCAATAAGTAATAAACTATACAAAATCTCTACAATTTAATCATAGTCACTCTAAAAGTATTACATAATCAAGATGTATTTCAATGCATCAATACTATACAGATTTTGTACAGAAATGTTCGGTGTTTCTTTTTTTTCCCCAATCATTTACAAAACATTGAAAACACATTCAATTCTTAAGGTAACCTGCTTGAATACTTGAACTACCTGTTCCTATCATCTGAATATTTTGTTTGTTTCAATTTATCATTATGCCTATTCATCATAGAAGTTATTCAAGTGTATTTATAAAAAGTTGACAACTTTTCACAATACAAGTTACAATAAAACCTAATCAGAGATATTATAGTTCCTAGTTAGCTGTATAGAAATCAATATAGATTATATAGATGTTCAGTGTTGAATTGGTAACATTGAATTACCGATCGCTTAATACTTATCACAATGGTCAATCAACAAGTAGCAAAAAAAAAAAAAAAAAAAAAAAAAAAAAAACAAAAAAAAACGGAAACTTGTTGTGATACTTTGTGTTAAACATTCTGTATTGTACCATAGATAATAATCATAATCATATTTTATTATATGAAATAATTCAACTATACAGAGAATACATAGATCAACTTACATTTTATTTTGTTTTATTCGAAGATAATGAACACTGTAATCAATCTACAATGAATAAATTGAATCTTTAACATTGAATAGTAATTTTTTTTTCTTTTGTATAAACTCATATTTATCAAAAAGGGAAAGAAAAAATTCCATTCAATTTTTGATTTGTTTTGTTAAATTGAATAATTATTCAATAGACCAATCATAATAAAGATCATTTGAACGAACCAATCAAAATTAAGTGTTATACAATAAGGAGAATACTTATGAATCATTAATTACGACAACTACTACTACTACACCTACGACTACTACACCTACGGCTACTACTACTACTACTACTACTACTACTACACCTACGACTACGACTACTACTACTACTACTACGACTACTACTACTACGACTACTACTTGTATAATTCTATCAATTAATTGTTATGTTATACACCGAAAGATTACTCGGAAATAAATATTTACAACTTAGAAAGTAAAAAGTGACACACTCCATATATATTTTAATTGGAATATAGTGAATAAAAGATAAGTTTTTAAAGACTGTCTATAGAGATTTAAGTGAACTTATAGTTAAACTTTGTAAAGTCGAAAAGTTGCATTAAAATTAATGATGGATTACAACTAATACTGGAATCTAGGACGAACGCTATGTCTCATTTGACATTTGTCAGTTGAATTAGAACTATACCTTATTACACAAGCTGATGATTATTTGAATTCAATAGCTAAGTGAATAACGTGATGGTGTTTAAAGTGAACGTTATAGAGTTCGAGCCTTACACTAAACATCAACTCTGAGTTGCATATATATCTAACTGACAAGTCTCATATAGGACGAAATGCATGTTCTGAATTCCATTGCTAATCACTATCTATCTTTGTAATGAAAAAATCAATTTTTTTTTATTCTTTTCAAAAATCTTTAAGATTAATTGAACCATTTATCATGTCAATTTGATTTACATGATTCGCTTTTTCTTTTTCCTCTTCTATAAGAAGAAATGAAATCATCATACTGACATTCAATCTTCTTATGTAAGATGATACATTGAATGAATGAATGAATGAATGAATGAATGAATGAATGAATGAATAAGTTCCTATGGTTTATTCAATAGATTAGTTAATCATGGTTTGTTTGTTTATTTGTTTGTTTGTTTTGCACTTCCGTCCGTTCATGGTTTCCTGGAGAATCTCTCTTCATTTTCATTGTATTAGTTTAAATAGAATGAAACGTTGAATGATTTACGAAACAACAACAAAAAAACACACATAAAAAGTCAAATGTTGAAGAGAAATTGTGGGGGGGGGTTCTTAAATGAAAACATTAACTATGTCATTTATAAGTAAAGATGGATAATGGGTAACGGTGGAATCCATTATACGTGTTTCATCTTATTTGAAACTTGTCAGATGAATGCGACTGCATCTCAGAGTTGATGTTCACTTCAGAACTCGTATCCAGCTGAGTGAAGAACGCTGGAGTGTTTGAAATGAATGATACTGGGTTCTGTTTATGCAGTGAGCATCAACTCTGCGATAATGCACGAAACGCGTGTCCTGGATTCCACTACTAACCACTATTTATCGTTGCTGATGAAGGTTATGACTTGAGGGAATATTGACACAGGTCACATAGGATTCACATATGTCAATCAGAGACTGATCAATTGCAATCCTAAATAATAATGCGAAGATACAAGTAAACAATACCAAGTGAAGGAAATATGATATTTGTAAATTACATACTAAGAATACATGGTTTATTCAATAAATACTAGAACTTAAGTTATAAAAACTCTACATGCTTTATGATATTCCCTTCAAAACAATACGTTTTTCATTTCTATGGTTCTGTTGTTCAAACTATCCCTCTGGAGGGATCCGTTGGCTAAAGACTATTAGCAACAATCTACTGTGGAAGAGAACAAATCAGATTCCAGTGGAGGAAGAAATCAGGAAGGAGTGCTGGAAATGTATAGGACACACATTGAGGAAAGTACTGAACTGCGTCACAAGGCGAACCCTCGTGTGGAATCCTCAAGGCCAAAGGAAGAGAAGCAGAAGGCCTTAGAACACATTACGCCGTGAAATGGAGATAGACATCTTTATAATATCTGGACTATCAAGAAATTCTAGAAACTTCATCATTATACATTCATTTGGTGTGTCCTACTTATATCTACAAAAGTAGTATATATCGTTAGTAAGGAATAGAATGTCTGACAGAAGAAGGTCAAGAAGATCGACGAAGAAAGACTGAGAACAGTAAGCAATTGATATGGAAATACAGAAACAATGAAGTTTGAGACAATTGACTGATATTTGCAAAAATGGAACAGTCAAGTTTCAGACAATCGATTACAATTTTGCAAATAAAAAATTTACTAATACTGTAATTAGCCTACTTGTTTCCGCGTTCACTACAACAGAAACAGGGTAAACAGAAATTGATTAAGATCAAGTTTGATGGAATAAACTGTCTGTCAAATACGGAATGATTTGAATAGCTCACTTTCATCTGAAGATTTTACTGGTTACGTTTGATTTGTGCCTGTTGTTATTGCTTGTGTTTCTAGCTGCTTGTGGAATATATTTCCCTATCTTGAATTTGGACTTCTCTTTCTAGTTCTCGGGACTGCGACACATCAGAATAGTCGGCTTATTGGTGTTTGATCACAGAATGTTTGTTCCGTTCTCAGACTAGGTGAATTAGTGATCGTTTCAAATATAATAGACAGATAGTATTGAATTTTTAAGGTTATATATGTATATATATGTCAATACATTTTCTGCTTGGAACAATTGTCCATGGGTTGTTTATGGATCATTCAATATAGTGATTATTTACAAGGAAAGATAGTTTGTGTTAGTTACAAAATATAAAATATTTTGATTTGTGCCTGTCATAGTTGCTCATGCTTCTGGTTGCTTGTGGAATATATTTCCCCATTTTGAACGTGGACTTCTCTCTCTACCTCTCTATTCAACGGGGTGGGACTGGTGACTGTGTCGCAGAGTGTTTGTTCCGTTCTCAGATTCGGTGAACTCATCTCATCGCTTCAAACATAAAGCCTAAATAAATAAATGGTTGCTCTGGTTGTCAGAAGGGGCATCGACCTTTTCACTTCCGAAGGAACTCGGCTTTCACCCTGAGGCGTCATAATTCTTCTAAACGAAGACCTTCTGACTCTCAGGGCAAAATTTAAATAGTTTGAATAATGTTTTCTGGTTAGCATTTTTTTAGCGAGTTAGTTTTCTACGGGATGGGGTGGTTAACCCCATGCCCAACCCTCCTCCTTTATCCGGGCTCGGGACCGGCAGTAGCCCCCCGAAAGGGACTTCAGGCGGAGTTCGCTTCAAACATAGCATATATGTATATTCAAAACATAATAAGATATGTATATATATATATATATATATATATATATATATATATATATATATATATATATATATATCCTATTTACTATATAGAATAATATAGAAACAATGAATTGTAACTTAATATAGAACTAAGAATGTAATAATCATTCATGGCTAATTTTAATAATCATTAATAATTTATTGATTATTAGATGTTCAATTATTCAATTCATTAGATTCTCATAATTATAATTGATTGATTGATTATTTATTATTTATTAGATTTATCAATAGAAATCAATAAATTATTGATAAAAGAATTTGTAATAATGATTGAATAAAAAGTAAATATTACTAATTGAATAGTTCGAATACATGAATCTATAAATGATAGATGATTATGAAATAGTTGAATGTATTCAATGGTTATTTTATCTTAGTGTAGAACTCATTCATAGTGTACATCTAGGATTATGTGTGTGGGACTTGAACCCAGGAGCTATGGTAATATGGTTGAGTGATTATTCTCTAAACCATTGTGTTGGTATCCAATAGTTACTCAGTTACTCATACTTAACCATATCCTGGGCAATCCTTTCCAGTTCTTTACAGTTGTTATTCATCCTTTTCATGTTTGCTTTCAATTCCCAACGCAGTGTGTGCTTTGACCTTTCTCTTACATGTTTCCTTTCACAATTTTAAATTAGCGCATGCCTCATGATCCAGTTGGGCAATTTCCACAATGTATGTCCTGTCCACTTCCAACATCTTTTACTAATATTCTATTCAAAACGAAGCTGCTTTGTTTCCTCCCGCACTAGACTATTACTGATGGTATCCAGACCACGGATATTGAGTATCTTACGTAGACAACCGTTTATAAATACTTTTGTGTTTTTGATGATGGTTGTTGTAGTTATTCACGTTTCAGTTCCATACAGTAGAACTGCCTTGGTGTTCATATTGATATTAGTTGATAGGCAATTGTTTTGAGTTCCATATGTTATTTAATTGGAGGAATGCTGTCCTTTCTTTTTCAATCCTTACCTTTATGTCTGCACCCTAATCTCCATGTTCACCGATGATGCTTCTCAGGTACGTGAAGGATTTCACATCTTCCAGGGTTTCGCTACCAATTGTAATTGGATTGGTGTTCTCTGTGTTGTATTTGAGGACCTTGGTTTTCCTCTTTTGTATGTTGAGTCCTACTGATGCAGAGAGTGCTGCTACACTGGCTGTCTTTATCTGCAATTGTTCGTGTGTATAGGATAGAAGGTCCAGGTCGTCTGCGAAGTCTGAATCCAAATTCTGAGATGTCCATTGTATCCCGTTCTCTCACTCAGATGTCAAGGTGTTCATAATCTAATCAACTACTAGAAGAAAGAGTAAGTATGAGAGTAAGCAACCTTGTGAGACACTAGTTTTTCCTTCAAACGAGTTTGTCAGGTATCCTCCATGCATGATTTTACTTCAGTCTCCAGTCAGAGATTAATGCACTTTATCAAAGCACAATGTCATTCTTTAAAGAACTAACTCTTCTTATAAGATTCAAAGATGAATCATTCTTCACCTTATTATCACAATCTAAAACATTACCATAGAGGTATTTTAAGAAGAAAAAAAGGTCGAACAAATATAATATTATAAGCAAGTGGCTATTAGGACTCAGTAACTAAGTAGATAACGCGATAGCGTTTGAAGCGAACAGTACTGGGTTTGAGTCCCAGATTGAACATCATTTCTGAGATGCAGGTACATCCAGCTGACGAGTCCCAAACAGGATGAAACGTGCGTCCTGGATTCCACTGCTAGTCACTATCCATCCATCTTTGCTTATAATGATTGTAAATTCAGGCAATATCGAAGCGATACGCGCACACTATGCACATATGCCATTAAGAGACTGAACAAGTTCAATCCTAAACATCAATGGAAAGATTCTAGTAAAACAATATCAAGTGAAATATAATATTAATTAATACTGTTTAAATAATCTATCCATTGCTTATTCATTTACGAACTGTAATCCTCTCAGCAACAACAACAACAACAATAACAAAGAAGAAGTACCAAACTTAAATGATCAAGATTTCATTCATTCAATGGATCCATTTATCATAAATAACAAAAAAAATTTTTTTTGCTATTTTTTTCTTCCATATTTATCTAATTCTGTAATGATTTAATGAAATTCTACACGGAATAGGGTGTACCCATTTTTTTCCCTCTGTTTCTCTCCCTCTCTCTCTCTCTCTCTCTTTAAACAAATGAATTATGAAAATTTTATTGGTTTTTTTTGTCTTTTAAAAATACAAAAAATATTTTTTTTGGTGTGAGAATACGTTTCCGTTATGATTTTTGTATTTTTACTCTTTTTTCTCTTTTTTTCTTTTTTCTCTTCTTTTCTCTTTTTTCTCTTTTTTATTATTGATAGTTTGTACTGTCTGATATATTTTTTTTTAATTTTATAGAAATGAAAAATATTTTCACTTGGTACTGTTTGGCTTGTATCTTCCTATTGAGGTTTAAGACTGAAATTGATTATTCAGCCAAGTGAATTTAAATTCACCCCATTGAACAAGTAAGTGGTTATTAGGACTTAGTAGCTAAGTAGATAACGTGATGGCGTTTGAAGCGAACAGTACTGG